AGTGTCTAGGTACCTATATATAGTATATATTATTATATACAATGCATTTTGTCATCCATTAGATATTGAACAAGTACCTATAGCAGATTGCTGTTTCCACTTTCGGCTTTCCGTTTACACAAGTACGCAACACAATATTATGTAGAATATTACATGCTATATATAAACGACATCCCTTAAATATTCACATCTATTGAAATAGAAGAAAGTGAAACAATACTATAGTTTTAGATTAAATTTGAGGATAAAAAAAAATGTTTTGAGCATGTGTAACGCATTCTATACCTACTTAGTAAATTTGTAACTTTGCCCTCTGGTACCTACTAGTTTACTACACGTAGTACAATCATAACATTAAGTCCATATAGATAAATACGTAACACAAAACCATTTTTACTGACCATAGTTTTTTTCTTATACCTACTACCAGCACACTTCACTCCTATATTTTTGGCTCTAGAATCTAATGGTGAGGTGTACCTATATTCGTCGCAACTTTTATCATGTAAACCTGTTACATTTTGATCAAATCCACCAGCTACATAATTCTTTTATTTTTATTTTCGTAAAAATAAACTGTCAATAGATCTATCAAAGACAATAGAATAAAAATTGTAAATACCAAATACTTAGGACAAATTTTCTAAATGGGTAGGTATGGGGGAAAAAACTAAAAAGGGTGCTAGAAAATTTTGAAAATAGATTAGCGCATTCTTGAAAGTAACACGCTACATTCAGTTATTGTTTGATACCGTTTTAAAAAACTAAGGATAATATTTTGGTAGGCTACGTAAAATTGGTCCACCCATCCGTATTTCAACTGTATCTCACAAATAATAAAACCAGATTTTCGAATTCCCCCAAATAATTCGCAAAATATGTACTTATGTATGAACATTTTGAGTAAATACTCCAAAGTGGATGGCCAACGTCTATTTTCTACGATATTTCAATAATAAAATGTTCTAAATCAATACTTAAATCATGATTATATATCAAGTAAAAATCGTTTGTAATTTAAAAATTAGAAATGTGAGCAATTTCCAAAGGATGATAAAAAGGTCACCAAGAACGACAAGGACTTCATATACCAGTATACCACCACTAAATAAAAATAATCACGGACATCTGCTATTCCGCTCAGTGTGAATAGACGATATTAAAAGTGCAATGCGTACGCGTAGAATGTTTGCCTACAATAGTATTAATCGCAGCTCGGTCGATCGCGGACGCTGACGAATTTTATCTGCTAAGTTGCTTCAGTTTACATAGGTAGTGTAAATGGTCTAATCTAAAATAGGCTATTTAATTATAAGCAAATATTCGTGGTGATTTAAAATCAAGAATATTCATTCCAACTAACGAGTTAATGAATTAATTTGAATTATTATCGTTCTACAACATGGGTATTAAAGACATAGTAATAACTAATAAGATTCATCAGTAATCTTTGTCCTTAAACTTTAAATTTTCAGATAAATCTAATTTACTAATAACTAATAATTAACTAAACTTTAAAACATTTATCACGATTAAAATGTTTCAACTAATTCCTACTAATTTCGTCTACAGTGCCCGTCAAAATCAAGGAGTACCTACCATATTGCCCGGGCAATAATGTACACATTGGCCGATAGTCCACTTTGTCCATAAAATATTATAATATATTAATATAATACTATTAATACTACCTGCAGTACTACCACAGTACCACGGTTCACTATTATAATTTATATTATACTGGTTATACAAATTGCAAGATCGTTAATATAATGTTAAATATAATATATTGTGTAGGTACTAATGTACAATTTAAATACTATAATTTGTGTAATAACGTATATATAGGTATTTTATTATTGTGTACCTATATTTTAAATTTTATTGGAAATAATCAAATTAACAAAACAATTTCCATTACAATTTATGTAATACAATTATCTATTATCTCTACATGACTATACACTATGAGTTATGACTATATACGTCTATACAGTATACAAATATACAATATACATGTTATGGATATAAATTATAAATACAATGCATACCTATATAAATACATTTATTATTAACTAGGTATTAATATGAATAATATAGGTAGTTAAGGCGTGGAATTCTTACAAACTAAGATCAGTATTAAGATTATAATTGCTTTTATTGATTTATCGATACAACTTTGAGGCTAGCATTTGTGAGTAAAATAAAAGGCTTCAGACATTCAGTGTTCGTGCAATCGTGCGTCAAGTGTCAACCAGGGGCGGCTACAGGCAAAAAAAAATCGTCATTTTCCGAAAATTATGGTTCATTAATGTCAATGATCAATATCAATATATTAATTCTACAAATTATACATACAAATCACAACCATTTTATATTGATAATAATAAAATAAAAAAAATTTCCTTTTTATGAGGTATACAGTATACACAGAGCATGAGGTACGTTTAACTTTAAATCGAAATACACTTATACACCGATCGCCATTCGTATCTTATAATTGTTCTTTTTTTCCAGGACAGTCTGATAACACAGCTCGTACATATTATATTATAAAAACCAGAATGAAATAACAGTTCATTCAACAGCGTAGTATACGATATTTTCTGATCCGCAAGAGCGTCTGCAGATATCATTTTTTTTTTTTTTTTATCATAATATTATAAATGCCATAACCTGTGTAGTGTGTATATACACGAATGCTTCTCATTGATAAAATCGAATCTTGTAAATATAATATTATATAGAATGCGATATGACCAGTAAACGAAATTGAATGTAGCGTGTCCTGTGGACGAATGGTACGCCGCCGTTTTCGACAAGAGAGTGCCGGAAAGAAATTACCGGATTCTCCGAAAAACATTTATAAATCGGGGACGCCCAACATAATTGTACAGTTTATAATGTCCCTAAACGTCGGACTACCGGAGTACATTAAATACGTACTATAATAAGCCACGGCGTTGAAAAACGAGTAGTGACTAATGAATGCAATGCATTAAAAACGTGTGTGCGTCGTTCGCAGGCATATACAATTATCATCGGAACTAGACGGAACTAGGTACATTATAATTGTATTCAACGGTGTATGTGCCCCATGTACCGTATGCAGCACCTATACCACCGTCGAATAAAATTATGGGTTAAAACCAAATTTATTTTGGAGAGAGGCTGCAGAGGGTGAATTTCAGTGAGTCTCGTAGCGGAGATAAATCGTATAAAACTAGGTAGGCAGAGCACGTGGAACCGTCTATGTGTATTGTGTAATGTGTATGCGTACATGGTACACGTGTTTGTTATAACTTATAAATTATACTTGTAATACTACGATCGGTTGCTCACCATTACCGACTTCGCGAGGATGCGATTGAATTAATTGTTGTCGTCTACTGTAATTTCTATAAGATCGAATTCGTATTATTTCCGATCCGTACTACAAACTACACAATATATCATCATTTACGGATAGCTTCAGCCGTTTCAGGAATATCTTAACAAATTCAGAGTATTACTCTATGAGTTATACGGACATAATATAACGTTCTAATGGTTGAGTCTTATTCTTATAACTTATTGCAGGAATAAATTATGGGAAATAAAGTTCTTGAGTATTCTTGAATATCGAAATGAGGATTACCTCAGTCTCAATGAGGTGCAAACACTTAAGCTAGTAATACACTAATACATATATTTGTTATTACTTTGAACTGTACGTTGTAAGTAGGTATATAGTTTAATAATTACACACAAGCAATACGTTTATTATTATTTATTTGTAATCCGTAACGGACCTGTAGTAAAACACGAAGGATTTTCTTCGTATTCTGGACAACGCTTGGCTGAAAAACTGGTGTAAGGGATGTCTTCAACTCTGAACATAGTGATTAGTGAACATATTATACTATCTTGGAACACATTATACATGCGGATATATACACATTTAAGTATCTATACATGGATAATTCGGCATGTTCATTGCCGATTTCGAATTTACATACTTTGTGTGTCTATTAATGATATTTAATTACCCACACCCCTTCATAGGTAAAAGTAGAAATAATCATTAATTTGCTCGTAAATCCATTTGGCTAGTATTTCTAGTGACTGTAAAGTAATTTAAGTCTTTTGGACTTGGACATGACTAACATTTTCCAATGTACATACACATTTTTAGTTTTTACTATATTTGACCAACGCTTTGGCACCCTTAAAACGATGGTGATCGGCACCCTTTGTCGACCTCCCCCACAAATTAGGCACCACTGTTCGTTGCCGATGGATTTCTGAACGGTCTCTCCTCAATAACCATTGTGGTTTCGCGCCGGTCGGCAGTACCGAGGACGATAATGGCGAAACGAACGACGATTCGAACCAAACCGTAAGTGGAATGAAAAAACCCAGAGCGGCGGCGGTGTCGTTGTCGTTGTTGTCGTTCACGGTTTAACGCTCCGCGTGTGGGTCGCCGTCGTCCGTTCGGGTGCCAACAACGACGGGCGAGGAGGGTCGGGCGAACTGGTTGGCACTACGGCAGCAGGGGGCAAGCGGGCGGCCGGCGTGTTTCGACGTTACACACGCACACATATATATAATAACGCTGGCGTACATAATATTACACGTACGCAACGTGCAGAGTAATATTATTATTATTATTATTATTATTTACAGTCGGGCGACGGCGGCGGCCGTGTCCAAGGGCAAGCGTCTCGTCTGCTGCTGTGGCTGGTTCGCTCGGTCGCGGAGCGCGCGCACGCACTCGCACGCCACGACGACCCGCCGGCGGCACGCACGCACCGCAGCAACATGGCGGCCGACCGACCGAAACGCCGCCGCTCCCCCCCGAAACCAGCCATCCACCCACCCACCCATGAGGCGTTCGCGTGCAGCTGCCTGCCTGTGCCGCCGCCGCCGAGAACCGAACGCGCTCCGTGACGCCGTGACGGCGCGGCGGCGGCAGCCCTTCGTCGCGGTCGCCGCGCCGCCACGGCCACCAGTTGTCATCCATGCCGTCGCCAGCGAGCACGCCAAGCGCGCAACGACGAAAACGCCGCCGCCGTGAGCATCAACCACTGCATCAACAACCTTATCACTATCCTTGCCCCGGCGCCGTCGTATCTCTACCGGCGGACACCACTACCACGTCGCTGTCACCTGTGGCTCTAGCTACCGCAGCCGCCTTAGCTTCGAACGCCGCCATCACGGCATCGAGCACGGCGTCCGTCGTGGCCGCCGCAATGGCGATCGCCAACGAGACCAACATCGATCTGATAATGATCAACAAGATCAAGGAGCACCAAGTACTGTACGACACGGACGAGGACCAGTACAAGTACATAGACAAGAGGGACAAAGCCTGGAAAGAAGTGGCTGACGAACTTGGCATGCCGGGTAAATTGATTAATAATAATATTGTTGCGCAGCGTATTGTATGATAGACAACTATAGAAATTAAATTATAATTTCGATCGAAAATATTAATATTAATTTTAATTAAGGAGCCTTGTGCGAATTTTTGTGAGAACGTTGTTTCAACCCTGCGAAGGTTATAAAATTATTTGCGCGAGGATATGTGTTTTCGCTGTTCGCCGTTTGGCCGGAGAAAAATGCGCGTTTGCGATCCGTCGGCGGTGGTGGTGGGAGAAACACATGTTGCAGGGGTTGTTTTGTAAGAGAAATAATAATAATAATAACAACAGTTATAGCAATGTACCCCCACTGAGACGCGCCGCCCTCGCCCACCCGTGCAACAACAAAATAAGAGCGGCGCGGGTATATAACACGGATGGGATTTTCGATGCGCGCCGTAGCCGTCGCGAGTCTCCTTTGTTCGGCGTATGTGCGTGTGCAAACGTCGACGACGGCGCGTCCGTCCGTCGTCGGCCGAGCGGTACGTGCGAGCGAGCGAACATGCGGTGTTGAGCCTGCAGTACTCGTCGCCGTGTAGGGGGAAGGAGAAATACCACAACGAAACCGGATGGGCCGACTGGCCGAGCGGTTTGATGACCGCCGCGCACGTATTTATTATTACGCCCGCACGACGGCTGCGGTGGCGGACCGGCGCGCTCGCTCGCCAGCAGTGTCGCCAATCTCTTGACGCGCGGTGTTCAGCGTATACGGTGTGCGGGAAGCGGTGGCGTCGCTGGCAGTGGCGTCCGCCGCCGGCGAAGGGTGAAAACTCCACCGGTTGCCGCATCGACTGCTCGGCGGCGGCGATGCGCGCCGGCAACGTCGTTGTGCCGGAACGCCACTGCCGCCGCCGCATCACTCGCGGTTCTCGCTTAGGACCGCCCGCCGCCTATAATACGTATTACATTTCCCATGCCGCCGCCTTAGTTCTGGTTCTGGTCGAGCCATACCCCCCCGCAGAATTGTTGTTCGAAAACCCCTTCACGTCCCTCCGACCGACACCTCTGGCCGCCCAACTCGTACTGACCGACAATAAAGACGGCGGCGGATTGGCTTCCCAACAGAGTTTACCACTGAGACAGAAGTTGTCGATATATTATGTTGTTTTTATTTTCACCAATAACCGGACAACGGCCTAGAACGACATAACAATATTATTATTACTACGGCGTGACACGTTCATTATTTTTGTCCGCTGGCGGTTTCAATGCCGACGAACGAAAATCGTCGTGATATGACAAAAACAAAAGATTTAATATCATGTCTTATGTCTATGTTGCTATTTCATTGTTAATAACGAAGAGGTTTTTTTCATTAGATTCGACTTATCGCATTTATCTAAACGGAGAGTTGAGGAAGGTCGTGATATACATATATTATAATATTATGTATTATTATTATAATAGACGTTAAGATACGTATGAGAAAATATAAATCGTTTCGTCTGTATCAATGCGTGTGTAAAAATAACGATAACGAAACAGATTACTATGTTATTATAACTTACAAGTTATAGGTATCACAACATTTTAAAAAAACATTAATAAAATTAATTACTAAATAACTAAATGTCTGAACAGGTATACAATATATATAGAACAAATAGATAAATTATTTATATACTTAATGTATTTAACTTGACTTACTATTAAACTAAAACAAAAAATTAAACTAATCACTGTCCACTGCACAGATATCAAATGAGTAATTATAGGTGTATAATATAATATATAGGAGTGTGAGTGTAACGAACACGTGTAAAACGTTTGAATGAACTTCGAACAGAATAACAGAGATTTACATTCTTAAATTGATTACGAATTTACGACCGGTTAATAAATAATAATATTTACATTTTTAATGCATAAATTATATCCGTAATTAATTATCATTCTGATTTTAGTGGTTGTCTGCGTATTATAAAATATAAATTGTATACGAATACAATATATCGTACACAGTTAAGTTATATTAATATGCAATTGAGATTTAGGAGCGAGTATTCGGGTGAACGTGGGATAATGGGATCGAAAGATAATATTAAACTAAATGAAAATCGTAGCAAATAATAAAATATTATTTCGATATTGTGTTACATCTACTACGTCTGATAATATTGTATTTTCGTTAAGTTTGATATTATAATATGTATTAATGCAAAAATGTAATACATTACAAAAAAGGAAATGTGATGAATTTCGTAAATAATATTTACATAACACAATAATATAAATTCCACACAAGTGTATCGCTATATCGGTAGGTATAATAATATAATGTACCTGTATAGCATAATGTACAAATCACCTAATGAAATGACGTGTATACACAGAACAGATTAATCGGCGATATCGTATTTTTTTACTAAATTTTAGTGTAACACAAACAAACAAAAATATACAACTACCGCAAAATACAGTATAATTCTTTTAATGCGTATTTAATTTCCGCAATATTTCACGTTCATAATGCCGTATTGCTATTACAACCTAAGTTTGCATAAGTTGCCTAACCCTCTTTATGAGGTCGAAGGCTCCAATAACTATATATTATAATATCATAGAATATTTTGTTACTGTGGATCAAAAAATACGGTGTCGGCGTGAGTGCTCTTTCGGGCATCACACCTTTCATTAGCAAAAAGACAATAGAAAATAATAAATATTTAATTTAATTTAAACGATTTCGGATTTTTAATTTTCGAACGGGCGTGGATATTGTGCAAATACATTTAAATTTTTTCGATTTTTCAAATATTTGCGTATGTACACCGATTTGCGTTAAGAAATAATATGTATCTATTGTGCACACATACAGACAACAGTACCTATAATACTTATGCGGACATTTTGAAATAGGTAATAAACAAATATTTACCTTACGTCACCCACTCTTTCGTTGCGTACGCGTGCGCAAAAAATGTGTCGTGGCTATAATATAATATATTGTTGCCCGCGCGTCGGTATTTAAGAAATAAAATGTTGATCCGGTTCTTAATATGAGCCGAGGACGCGTATGGGTATTATAATATTTTCATCTACCTACTTATACGTTTAATTTCTAAAATATTCATATCATTTCTCGCTTTCTAGATAGGGTGGAAGGTTCAATAAAATCTGTAGGGGTAACGGTATCCTCAAAGATTTTGTGACTATCGTATAGATAATTGTTATTCTTTATTAACGATTTTCGCAGTCAGCGATTAATTTGTAAATGAGAAAATTTACATCGACAGACATTAGAGAAATTTCGAGTTCGGTTGCGTGAGGTCGTATGGGCAAAATCAAATCAAACCATTTCAACGATCAAAAACTTCTTTAAAGGAAAAAACGAGAGAGAATATTCAGATTTTTATGATGATGTTTTAACTTGAAATAGAAAAACTTTATTCATATTGGACTCTGATTTTTTAATTAATTTTGAATAAAGCCAGAAAAATTTATTTCAAAACACTCAACAACTCGTGATTATATTTAGACGTTTAGTACAACTTCTAAAAATGGAGTTCAAAATCGCGAAGCCCAATGCGACCTGTATATAATTTTCATCTTTTAAATAAACAAAAATAAATTATTGAAATCTGACGAGGCGTGAAGAAATTCCTGCCTTTGAAGTTCTTGGAGATACCATAAATTATTAAGTCCGCTCCGACACCCCTATTAAATTATTAGATGGCGAGATTGCGGGTGGGTGGGGGAAACAAAATATAGATAAAACCGCACTACGCATGAACTTTTTTAGCGTAATGACATGCTGGAAATCAAAGGTGGGTATTAACTAGTTAGTTAATTTTCTAATCAACTTATGAGCATAACTGGTTTAATTGACAGTTGAAATAACTTTGCTCAATTTATTTAAAAATAATCCATTAACAAGGATATGACCTTAAATTGCTATTTGTTATAAAAAAAATTAATTTTTTTTAAATTATCGTTTGGGATGTGTTGGTATATTTTAAAATTTTAAATATTTAGTAATCATGTAAAGTAAAATAGACAAGTACATATAGTGTATACACTGTAAGTTACTATGAAAGTTCAATAAAATTGTTAATTATAATCTACGACATTAGAAAGAACGCAGTCACTCTCTTAATGTGACCCATAGACTAATGAAAAAAAGTAGATTTACTTTTTTTAAACTTTCCGTTATAACTTTTAACTTGTCGAGTTAAATTTATAATTTGTCAACTGTTAACCTATCGATCTTGTGTCCTCCTAATTTTACTTTACTCGAGTTAATTATTTTCATCAACTTGTTGCCTACCATATTGCATTAGAAATGTATATATAATATCATACTGGCGTAATGTATTGTATAGGTTCATATTTTCGAAAATGCTTTCTACGGAACGGAATTTAAGGTAATTTTTTTCTCGTTGCGTCAAACGAAACATAACCGGTCGTTTTATATCTTATACATGAATATGGGCACCTAAGCAGATTACGCAGTCATACAAATTTCACGTTATAGATTTGGTGAAGTTTCCGCGAGAACTTATTGGAGATGCAATGCCCATACATTTTATCGGTATCGTAAAATTTGGAAGACCTTGCAGTATTATTATATACACTGTCCGTCAGTGTATACGTTATTTTCTTATTTATGGATTACTGTATAGAGTCTTATGACTTATGACGCTGCATATATTGTTCGTCCATACTCTATAGTCTATAGTACCTGGCGTACTGCAGACGGAGCGCGGAGAATGTTCTTCATTATTATACGATACCGTTTGCATAATATATGAGGTACCGTTTATTTTATTTTGTCTATTACCTCTACACGACCTACGCCAATATTTATCAAGTATACAATAATATATTATTAATATGTGATCTTGTGGTACGCAGAGAAAACCACACGCAATAAGGTATTATTACGGACCGTCGGACTGTTTGCCAGAATTTTTCTTAGGGGGGTGTTTTAATTTTATATTAGGTTGTCGGGGCTTTATACGCCCTCTATTTTATTCACAAATCTCCATATAAGTAATATCAAATAGAACCAAATAACAATCTAATATAGTCAAAGTCAAGGTAGTAATATCTATCATATTGTAATTTGTAATACTGCCTTGTATTTGTTTATTAAGTTATAAGCGGACAAACAAATATAATATAGGAATAAAACAGTTTTTGAATCCTATAATATGTATAAAACAAGAGGGACGATTAATGGTAATTTAGAATTAATCAAACCCTGCAATGCATCTTTGATGGGTAATTATTATATAAACAGAGGGATAAAACTAATTAATCGAATGCCAATAAATATCAAATTGATTGATAACGATTAACGTTATCAAATTTAAAACAATGATAAAAAAATGTTTATATGCAATCCTTTCAATATCTTGTTTAATATCCCTATATAGTATATTGTATGACAGTTGTGTTTATTATTTAGAAATAGTTTTAGTATATTATATTGTTTTCATTTTTATCAATATTATGTACTATATAAAATTGTGTATAATTACCTAATTAATTGATATTGTAACAGACTCTCCCGGTCTATCTATTGCTTATAGAGAGTAGGCAGGTTTCAACTTTAAATGTTAATTTAAATGTAAATATTATTATGAAGAAGTTGAATTAAATTATTATTATTAAACAGTATAATACTATTTTATATAATTTGGTGTATTGACTAGCATAATAATGTTATCACTAACGAACCCAAAAATAAATACGATCGATCACAAGCGAAAATAAAATATGATCTACATATATATACCGGGTGATTCTTTTATCAAACAACACTCATTATTTCAAAAAGTGTAAATTTTTTGAAGATATTTTTTTACATAGTTTCAAGTCGCTTATAAAACAACGTTTTTATTAAAAAATTATTTTTTTAATTATTTTTTATCCTTATAATTTTTAAGTTTTTTACTTTTTTGAATGACAACATACAGTTATAATTTCATATTCCAAAGCAGAATATTTGACTAAGTATTTTGAAACATAAAAATTGAACTTAGGTCTAGTAGCTTATGAGTTATAAGTATTTAAAGTTTAGACGAGCGGTGAAGTGGACAAACATTTCGCGGGGTAACCCCGAACCACTCCACTCCGCTCGTCTAAACTTTAAATACTTATAACTCATAAACTACTCGCCCCACATTCAATTTTCATGTATCAAAATACTAAGAAAAATATTCTACTTTAGAATATACAATTAAAACCCTATGTTGTCATTCAAAAAAGTAAAAAACTTAAAAAATTATAAGGATAAAAAATAATTAAAAAAATAATTTTTTAATAAAAACGTTGTTTTATAAGCGACTTGAAACTATGTAAAAAAATATCTTCAAAAAAATTTACACTTTTTGAAATAATGAGTGTTGTTTGATAAAAGAATCACCCAGTATATAATATATATAGTGTACTAATGTTTATGTTATACTTAAATACTTATAGTACACGATTTGAATGAAGGAACCTCGCTGCAGCTCGTTCTGAGGTTTTACCCTTAAGATCGCATTTACCCAATACATAAATTACCGCATAAAAAATCCTAACCTATTATTGTGTCCGATTCGTATTTAAGCCGAAAAATAATTAATTCGATAAGGGCCGTTCTTACGATATCCAGTTAAAGTTAACACTTAACACTCAATTCTGTCGGTGATAAAATCTGTTATCGGTCAGACTTAACCGGGCATTGTAAGAGCATTGTGTTAGAACATTGTATTAGAGTGTTAATAGTACCGTATTTAATAGTATTTAGTAGTACCGACAGTATTTCAGCTAATATGATGATAATATATGTATAATATAATTTTTCTATTATAGTAAAGATATGAGTTTGTCCCATCCTCCATTTTAAAGAAAGTTTATATTTATAAATATATTCTCATAATGCATCAATAATAATGGAAAGCCATGGAAAAATACAGACGGTATGTGAAAAAACGTAACAAATTAAACTCGTGAAAATGGTTGCAAACGAATTATGATTAACGACCAATTATTATGTTTATATCGATATAGTATATATTTTACCTAATAGACAGTGGTCATTATACATAGATACCGTCGTACTTACCGAGTTATTCATCTGTAGTTATAAATGCTATTTTATCATTGAGAACATCGAAATAAAATTGCAATTTCACGTGCCGGTATTTGGCTGTATAGCTATAGAGTACCTAATGGTAGACATTTACCATAATATTATTGTAGGTGACGGTGGTATAATGATTAGGGCTGTGAATTTAATTATTTTCCACATCAATAAATTTAATTTTGAATTCATAATGAGTGGGATGCACATTTAGTTCAGGACATAATAATCATTCTAATTACAAAATGTTATCTTGCATATTACATTATAGTTATATAACTATTTAAAAAACATAAGTTAATATTATATATAAATGTAAATATGTGATCATTGTAAGGGAGTGCATAAAGAAACCTAATGTATAATATTTTTTGTATAAAATACCGTCTGCTGGAACATTGTGGGTCAAAATATTGTAGGCTTATATTTATACCTCCCCCCACTGTACTACCTATAAAAGAAATTAAATACCCGAGGAAGACGCTCGCCGAGGTGAACCGTATCCGTCGTGAGTCACGCATTTTTAGGTTCTTATTTTTTGACAGTAGTTCATATAGCGTAAAATTATATACATTTTAATGTTTGGTTGATATTTTATTTAGACTAACTATCATGATGTCAGCCTGGCACGATTTTATCACCTGTGATACCTACCTAAATTACCAATGCTGTGTGTGCACAATATTGTTATTATTACTTATTAAATATTATGTTATTGTCCACAGTTAACGATGTCAAATTGCGCTGGAAACGTTTACGCGACAATTTCCGAGTGTCCATCAAACGCACCAAAGGATTGAATCTCAAACCCGGCCTACCGTTCGTCGAGGGCAAGCCCTGGAAGTATCAAAAAGAAATGGAATTTCTCTTACCTTTCATGCAAATCGGAGGGTTAGTTATTATTACTTATTACTATTTATATACATATATATATAACGCTTAGCCCTTAGGTAGTGGCTAAATACGTACCGTGGTTTAACTTTGACTTGGGCGGCTCGGAGCCCGAGTATAACGCGACTGTAAAGAGTATCTCCATTTGTAGTATTGCCACCAAAAGTGACACCCGTGGTATATAGCTTAAAAAACAGAAAGAAAAACGATAACTACCAAAACAAGTCTGTTGTTTTTGAAGGCATTGAATACGTGAGAAAACAAAATAGCGGGCGCCGACTAATAATCTTACGAACAATATAATGTCTCGGTCTGTGACTTTGGGGCGCGTCCTGCCCCCCCTCCCGAATTAGCCATAAGCGTACATAATAATAAACGTGTTACCATAATACAGTAAGAATAATGTTATATAGGTAGCTGTTACACAACTGTACGTCTGTACGTTTATACGTTTACAGGCAAATTGTAATTTGTAATTCTGTACTAAATAGAACTATAGAAGGCACTATACTTTATGATCAAATATCAAAACATCCGAAAAAGACAACCGAATGTTAAAAAATGCATTCCATGTAAAGCATTCTTATATTAGCTACTAGCCATATATACATTATGCTATTAAAAAACTATATTTTGTTTCAAGAGTTATTTTTTTTCATCCGCGCAACACCCGCCATGTATGATCGTGTTGTTTGACACACGGAATGTTTAGGTACCGGTGGTACATTTTATACATATTTTATTGTATCCACATGGAACGTATTCGTACCTACATGAATACGTTTGTTAACTGAAATTACTCGACAATAATCGTTTTAAAGTTTAAAAGAGCAGATAGTTTATATCATATTCAGATAAAAATGACACCTTTGTAGGATTTGTGTACGGATTACTCGAACGTTGGACTCGACCGCCTATGTCGGTTTTTTTTTTGTTCTGGTTGGTAGTTGGGTGGGTGGGTATTTAGACGGAAGACTAAGAACCTCTGAGCGCCACACGATCTTGCTGGCATAAATGCAGCACGAGCACGTACCTACCTGTTGCTGCACCCGACCGAGGATCAGCTTCGACACTGCGCACACGTATAGCGTTGAGCTTAAAACATTGCACGCAAAGCAACAAATTCGCATTTTGAGAAGATAATAATATTGAGTACGAATCTATTACGGTTCGTTCTGGTCGGTATCTCATTAATGTATAAAACCGGTTAAAAATTCGTTTTTATATTACTATACAATAATGAACTCTTCGTTGACGACAATATAATATAGATTAGTGTTTGTTGTTGTTGTTGTTGGTATCGGTATGTATTTATCGCATTAAAATACTTAATTATATAGATTTTCGGTATTTTTTTTTTACCACCTCGTTAATATCCAGCATATTTTTGACAGAAAAAAACAATTTATAATTGGTGTATTATAACAAAATAGGAAAAACTATTTGAACAAAGAAAATGAAACATATTAAACAAGCTATTAATTATTCTTTCGTCCATAATATGTAGGTATTACCCTACATACTTTTATTGATAATATACATTGATTAAAATGTATTTGAATTTTTAGTGGGCTTAGCTAAATTAATTTATAATGTCATCATATTTAAATTCTCTGGTGAGATATTTTCCGATATATGGTCAATACCCATACTATATATCAATGCTGGTCTTTCGTCACTTGAAAGTGCCACCTTGGACAACTACAGCTCCCCGCTCTCACCATAGCCACCACCAAATAAGTATTTGAATAGTTATTGATTACAGGTATATAATTGAATTGATTCGCTTTAAAATGAGGGATACACAACATAACTTCATAAATAATAAAGTTTTACCATAGTGGTCGTAAAAAAAATTCAGCTAGGGGTACGTTTCTGTAATATAAACAACTGTGTAGGTACCTAATTGTGATGTACGCGCGTTGAACGTAGCTTTCGAGTTTTTTTTCTCCTTAAATTTAATAAATTAAAATATATAATAACTAGCTGATCCCGTGCACTTCGTCGCCCGTTAAATGGATCAACTCAATACTACCTACTCAAACTTTGTTCAATTCATTATTCAATATTCGGTGTATGGTGTTCAAAATTTATCTTATCTTTCCCGTTGCCCTGAATAAAAATTCTGAATCGCAGCAGTACATTATCAGGTAGGCAATCTACCTGCGGTAGATCGCGGACCCCGTGCTGTTTGTACGGAAGTGTATGATTTAACTCTAAAGTATCAAAGTTATACCAAGTTTATTTTGATGTAATACTGTGGATTAATATAATAAATTTGGTTGCTCGTAAAAAATCGCAACTCTTAAAAAAATTATGATTGTTGAACTCCTTTTGGGTGTAATTTTCTGCGGTAAGTGCAACTCTGCCACCCTGGTAAGCATTGTTCAATAATTCGATTTGATGCAAGCTTGTACCTGATCTGCCCGAATAACCAATGGCAACCAATAAATAAATGCTAATTTCTAATGTAGACTGTAACCAATGGCAACTATAAATAAATAAAAATAAAATTTCCAATTTCTATCGTGAATCTCAATGTCCCTGTTTCAGCACCTATTTAAAATGCGAATTTTGGCAAATCCTTTCTTAGCGCACGTCTATATTATAATAGCTATCTGTATGCCAAATTTCAGCCAGATCCGTCCAATGGTTTGAGCTGTGCGTTGATAGCAGTCAATCAGCTTACTGTTTTTTATATACAGATATGGTTGCCATGGTAATATGGACACACACACACACACACACACACACACACTGACATACATTCATTTTTATATATATAGATTGATATGAAATCTTGGTAACCTTAGTAACCATGGCAACCTTGGTAACCATGGTAACATGGACACACAGACACACAGATACACTGACACACTGACATACATTCATTTTTATATATATAGATATGGTTTGTGTTGTCCGTCACCGATTACTTATTTGTTCCGTTTGCGCAGGTATTCCCTGAAGAAAATGCTGAACTTGGAACACTCTCCTACCCAGGACTACGCGGGCGTGTATGACGACAGAGAGACGGACGGGTCGTCCAGTCCGTACAACAACATGTCGTATGACTACGACGAGATGCCCGAGCCCCGAGTGGAGATGAAAGAGATGTCGGGCAACTACTCGAACGACGAGGGGGGCGTGGACGACGAGCTGCTGTACCCGGACGTGGAGATCCTGAGCAACGGCAAGCACGAGCCCCTGCACCGGGTCGCGAAGCGCGTGAAGCGGTCGGCAGAAGCCGCGGCGGCGGCCGCCAAGGAGGCCGACTCGTCCGCCCAGCTCAAGCTCAACCAACACCACATGAACCACTATTACCACATACAACAGCAACAGCACAGTCACGCCAAGGTGCACCCCGTCGACCTGTTCTTCTACAGCATGGCCGAGACGACCAAGGGCCTGCCTCAAGCGTACCAGGCGGAGATCAAGCGCCGAGTGCTCGAGATCGTGATCAAGGCCGAAGAAGAGATGAACAAAAATAAAAACTACGAATGAGGGTCGTACAGTCGATGTATCCCTCTCTTGCTCTCTCCTCTCTCTCTCTCTACGAATAAGCCTTTTCGTTTTTGTACCACTTCTTTATTTTATATACATTATGTACTTTTTAGCATTTTTTATGTCACCAACTCGGATGTTTCTGGTCGAGATATTGATCGTTTATCGTTCTCATATTTATTTTACAATCAAATCGCTTAATTTATTATTATTATTATTATATGATTATTATTTTGTTCGGTGAATTCCAACGAATTAAGTGTTGCAGTTATCGAACGGTCATGATACGATTTTTTGAAACGTCCAACCCCAATTATTATTACTACACATCACTTAGAAATAAGGCATAATTATTAATATTATTATTTTTTGACTCGTGGAGATGAATGACGGGTATATATTATTATATTTTTTATACTAAATAACGTGAATGCAGGAAACCACTCAAGAACGTTTTTGTAATATAAACATTCCGAATTTCGCCACCAAACTGGCTTTGTGATAACAATAATGTGTTAAATATATAGTACCTATGACTATATTATAAAAATTATGCATTCCATTGTAGTGTATTTATACAGTGTAATTCAATATTGTTAGTGTAAGTCTGAATACTTAATACCTATTAAGCTCATGTAAAGATAATTATATATTTGCTCAAACATTCTCTGCCTGTGCAGAGAATGTGTGTACCAATTTTTTGTGTACAAAATCAATAAATTTACTTGTATTGTAAACTTAATAAGTACGAACATTATGAAAATAGTGTATACACTTTATACCATGACAGTCTTATTATTATTATTTTTTTTTTTTATGTATAAATGTGGCAGAAATTGCAATCATTGTAAATAAAAAAAAAAAAAAAACTATTAATACGAGAGTACTTATTTCCTTTATCACTCTCGTGTGTTTGTAATGATTTCAAGTATTTATAAAGAATAACTTATGAAGGACATTAACCACCTAACATAATATGTATATTGTACACATTTAGATTTAAAATTATAAATGTTCAAGGAACCATTTTTTATTACTAGGTAGTCTGCGTTGTGTATATTACGTAGATATCGCTTGCTGTTGTATAAATCCATGACGTATAGGTAGCTGGTATACAACTTTTAGAGCAATATTACTCTATGGTACCTATATACAAGATGTAAAATAGAATGACATGATAAATCAAATCATATTTGTTCTAATCAGTATTTAATATTATTTTATTTATATAATTTACAGACCTGCGCTACAATTACAGTGTAATTTTTAATTTAAAATTTTTTAATAGCGAAAATAAACAATTTTTTGGGGAGAAATTATAAAATAACCAACTTGTAAATCAATAGTATGATGGTAAGAAAGTTTATTTAAGTCAAATTGTTCATTTTTTTAAATATCAATATTTTTTTGGAGTAAATTAGTTTTGAAATGAGTAGGTAGTACAATATGTATTTTATTGGGATTTTTATTCAAATATTCTTCTTCACAATATTAAATTAAAAATTTATCCCGTCATTCAAAAAATTAAAACTAACGAAAACAATAACAATAATTATGTATATTTAAAAAAAAAGGGGTCGAATGTTTTTGGGTAATAATTATTGTACCTATATTGTATTTAGAATTTATACTGTGTGCTTTCAAAATGTTTTATGTATCTTGTATTCTTGCTATTTAAATTCTAAATACTATATTGTTATTATTTTTATTAGGTAATTATTAGTCTTGAAGTTATATTAATGTCTGCTTCGAATTTCGATTGCTAAGGCCATTGGCATAACGTTTGTACATACATTGCTTCAAATAATCAAATGTACAGAGGATAAAAAAAAATTTGAAAAAAATAAGTTTTAAATTAAATATTTAGATAATTACGTAGGTACTCTTTATTATTATGTACCTACCTACTTAGTATTAATTATTTTTAAAATACTTAGTTTTTCGCAATCAACCTATTACCACTGATTAAGACGCATTTCATTTGTTTCAATATAGGTACAAGGACTTAGGACCGGTTGAATAAAACATGTTAAACTACCAACTCTGGCACACGCACCTCGATCTGCAGCGATCTGTATTTCTGGTACTTTTATAATAAATTATTATATAGGTGTAGTAATTTTTGGCGGAAATATTGTACGTTTGTAGGCAGAACCGAATGGAAAAAAAAATCCAAAACAATAATTGAATAACAACAAAGACAAAAATAATGTTATTATAAAATATAATGTGTAATTTTTTAATGTAATTTGTTGCGAAAATGCTGGCGCCTTATTTGTATTGTCGGTTATTTTATTAACGGTATTCGCTCTCAAATAATACGAATAAGCATGGATGTGCCCAAGTGGGGGCTTAGGTGGTTCAACCTCCCCCTATGGACACTTTATGAATATAATATGTGTATTTATATATAATTATAATAATTTATTGGCAAGAAATCTAGTTGGCACCCACGCTATTTTAATTTTTTTTGTTCGGAAACCTATGTACCTATAACCTATTACAAGTAGTTTCCTCGGCTCAGTGCTCACCGTCGTATGTAATAGGTTTCAAATGTACCCTCTATACCGTGACCGCTTTAATTAGGAAGGTACTTTGGATCGACTAGAACAATAAAATTATCGGTCTCCGCAAAAAAATGATGTACGTACTATGAGGACAATAGTTATTACGGTCCCCGTCATAAAAGTTTAATACAAAATATTTTTTTAAACATAAACATTCTTACATTCAATATAATTTAGTAAGAAAAAAAATATTCAAACGTTCTTCAATGTTTAATAGAAATACTTGGACTATAAAAATTATTTAAAATTCATCTCTGAAAAGTTAATATATTTAAATCACAGCTATACTCTATAGATACCTATCAGATCTATTATAATATCTATTATAATAGCCGTGTTTTTTCCTTTAACGTTTATAGGTTTCATAACATTATTTTTAACAGCACTATAATTATAATTATAAGATATGGGTGTTCACGTCTCAAACACGCTGTTATTCAAATTATTTTAATTTTTAATTTTTTATAGTATTCGCCTCCACACGTCTTTCCATGTGATAAACATTATCAGATATCGGTGATCATCATTTATCACATAGTTGTTAATAATATTGTTATCAAAACGTGGTCACATTATACTCGTATTCAAGTTTCGAATTCAAAAATAAATCCTTTCAGATTTGAACGGACTAACGAAGAAAGCTTCTTTTTTTCAAAATTCAAAGTGAGGACGGTAAATCCTGATTCCTGATGGCTATATAATTTAATCGGAACACGTATTGATGCCAGTAGAAAACGTTCGCTCGTTTACCACCAATTTTCGGAGCTTTGACGGATTCTGCCCCCTAGTGCCGTCATGACGACTGCAACGTGGGAATGGACTACTCTGAAACGACTGCAGTCCACTGACTTGACAGCCGAGAAGTTTTGGAGTGCAACGAACGTGTGGAACGCCAAACCACACCTGTTGATCAAGCACTTGATGGGCGCTGAGCTGCTCGTATCCGAATCGCTAGCTGGTGAATTTGGTGACGTGTTGTCCTCGGTGGCAACTAAAGACCTACCACCCGCCACCTGGGTAAGAGACCCTACTGAAACCTTTTGGTGTCTGGGCTTGAGTGGCGGTCAGGATATCCATGCGGAAGTCTGGAAGCTGTTCACCAAGAAGCCCGTTGACTGGAATGATTATTTTCGACTAAGTCTCTTTGGTAAGAGTTCACCAATACTTGAAAAGATTAAACATAAGATATAATACTGTATCATGGTTTTATAGACAGGCTAAATAACACTGCCGTGTTCTACGACTGTACGCCTAAGAAGAATGGGGACGACATCAAATATGCCTATGGTATTCATTATGTGGACGACTGGTTGGAGTTACGTCTCGCCATGCCGTCAAACCAATCTTTGGACGACAAGAAAACGCTGCACTGGATGACCGACATATTTTTTCCTAAATTTTTCAACTGGACCATCAATGATAAAGGGTCTAAACCCACAATTTCATCTTTGTCACACGTTTGTGTTCAAATGTACTGTAATTTGTATAGTCGGTTGAAAGAAAAATATGCCAAATCGCTAATGAATGTAGGTACAACAATTTTTGTTTTTCATTCAAAAATATAAAAATCTAATTACATCTTGTATGTTTAGGTTTGGACAGAAGTAACTGATCCTAAGAAGTATATTCATAAAGATATTGCAACAGCCACATACCTTATGCTGTTATGGGGCGACACCAAACCATGTTTTATTGATATGGGATGTGGTAACGGTTTACTTGTACATGTGTTAAATAGTGAAGGATATAGCGGAGTCGGATTGGACGTTAGATCTCGGAAAATGTGGGCTCAATATCCACAATCTACAGTTTTAAAGGTATTGTAGGTATTGCGTGGGGTTATATAGTTTTAAACAAACAAATTTTGAATTCACTTAAATACCTATAAATTATTATTTTTTTATTGTAATTTGCAGGTAACTAGTGTTGATCCATCGTCGTCTGACTGTAAATTTCCACAAGCTGATTGGATCATAGGCAATCATTCAGATGAGCTGTCGCCCTGGGTACCAGTAATTGCCTCTCGTAGCAATTACAACTGCAAATTTTTTCTCCTTCCATGTTGCCCTTTTGAATTCAATGGTTCCCGCTACCAACGCATAGATTCATCCCTTAGTCAATACCATGATTATCTAAAATACTTGGAAAAAACAAGTACTAACGTGTTCAAGTTCAACGTTAAAACCGACCGTCTACGAATACCTTCAACAAAACGGACATGCATCATTGGCTGGTCGAAAAATTATTTGCCACAGGAAGTGGATCAAGTTGTGCAAGACATCGAAAAGTTTGCAAATTCTAAATTCAATGAAAATGTTCAATTTGTGCCCAGGCCATCCGAAGAGAGAGTCAGGAATTGCACCAAATTAGATAAAGACTTGTTACGCAGTGTGGTCGATACAGTAGCTGATGTATTGATAAAAAGTTCAGATGGATGGAAGTGTCGCGTCACTTTAGGTGAATTAGCAAAACAAATTGGTGAAGAGAGGCTGAAAAAATTGAAGAAAGAATGTGGTGGTTTGCAGACATTGTTAAGGAATCACAGGTATATTTTTGTGGTTGAGAAAGGAACTGTTGGATTCAGGAAACCAGTAAAAGACTGTGGCAAAGTTTGGAAGAAACATAAGTGTTGGTTTTATCATAACTATCCTGACAAGTGTCCGTTAAATGAAGACGAGTGCTGTAATATACATTAATAACAGCAACTAATTGTATGTAATATTAATATTTTATTATTACAAGTTTTTGTAAGTAATATGTTTATACACAAAATAATAAATATTATATATTTTTTTCATGGATGTAGGAACTCTAACCTCGTTTAAACTTGACTATCAGAATATGTGATCCTTTCGCAATGTCTTATTGACTAAAAAGGAATAACATTGATAATGGAAACATTCAACACCCAAATCACATAATTGAAAAATATAAATATAATTATAACGAAGAATAATATGCCACAAAATTAATTTAGCAATTACCAAATACCAATACACTTATTTTAGATATGTGTTGATGCATGTATACCTGAGATCCTACAACAAAATAAATTTTCAATTTTCAAAATATACTTATACCTATAAAAAATATAGCTATACCGCATTTATATATTTAAAATATGTAGGAAATCTGAGGGAATGATGATTGTTAAATGTTTATGGTACATACATTATTTTTTATACATACATGTTAAGTTTAGTAAAACAACTAAATGGATACTGAAATGAAATAAATTATTTTTATAAGTATTTTCTGAAATAAACGTTTTAATATTGGTTTTGTTAACAGCTGTGTAATAACACTCAACTGTCAAATTATATTGTCTGTATTTACTCAAAACAAAATACTGATATTTCATTAAAATAATCATAGAAAGCAAAATATTGGATGGTAAATGATTCTGATGATTAGTTAATTACTGATTGCCGATTATAAAATTAATGTTTATTAAATATGGTGTTTGAGCTTATAATGATAAAATGTTTAATGTATTATCATTAACTTTTCACAGTAGTCAGTAAATAATAATTTAAAAACATGTGGAAAATAAATTATGGTTATTTATTATTCAAAAATAAAAATTATTATTTCTGATTTAGCCAAATTTAAGATATAATGCAACAGGTCATTATCCCGACCTAACCAACCTGATACGGGCAAATTGTTCAATCAATTTAAGCACATTATTTGAAATAATTTTAAACTTTCATATTTATATATTTTTTTTTTTTTTTAGTTTATTAGTAATTACTAAGTAGTATAACACGAATAGTATAATTTTTCAAAAAATAGTTCAACAACTTAAAACAAATAATTACTAGTTTTATGATTACATAAATAATGTACAGCCAGTGTACGTGATTCAAAATAATTGTCAATTAATAATAATTAACCTATCAACTGGTATTGAATTAAATATAATATAAAATATTGAAGAAAAATAAATAGACAAATGTTCTTAACACACAAATTGTGTGAATATAATATATAAAACTAGAACATGAGCATAATATTCTATTAAACTAATTTACTATAGTAATCAGATAAAATTATTGTCCTAAAATGTTTAAAAGTAACTTAGGGTGCCAAGTATATATTATTATACTATACATAAAAATAACTTACAAATAAAAAGAATACTTGTATAGTTATCATATCACCGTCACTACACAAAATGTATGAGTGTTATCAAAAAAGAGTAACTAAATTACATAAATTAATTAAATAAAATGATAAAAACTGATATCTATTATAAATAGTATTAAAAATTAAAATTATTAAAATTTTTAATATTAATAACAATACTGTTGTCGTATAATGGACACGAAAAATTACATTCCAAATTAAATTTCATCAAAAATGTTTGGCATTAATTACAAGTAAATAATATAGTATAATGTGAAACATACATTTTTTGAAAAGCTTAAAGCTATAAATTATTGCTGGAAAAAGATTGTTGAAGAAAATTGGTAACAAACCAAAATATACAATTGTATATTTTATTATATACATTATTCATATTTGATCACTTGATTGTGTTTAATAATAGTACCTAATATAAAGAAATAAATTAACGAATACTTATGACTGTATCGCAATGCTAGAAACTGGTCGCGACAACTGAGTAATATCTCTGTACTGGGTAAACACGCAGATCTAATATAAAAATTAAATATAAATTATTATAACAAATTGGCATGTTTACAAGTTGAATAATTACCTTGTCTTTGAGTTGCTGGGCTAGCTGTAAAGCAACTGTGAAAAGGACGAGGACTTCATTCAACCACGGTACTGTACATTCAGCTTGATACGTGTCGTACTTCATTGCACCGTGAGAGTTGGATAATTGGTAAACAGCAAATATTAGCTTATGACTTTGTATGTAAAAACTAATTGCTAAATCTTCTGGTAAGTTAGGCGTCAAACACTTCTGAAACAAACGTAACCATTGGCTTAGCAATTTCAATGCATGGTGGATTTTTTATACCAGTTGGGGCGACTTACCATGTTTCTGCTTTTAATCAAATCATCAATTGTTCGTTTACGTGGAACTATCAGACTCGTCCGACCTCTTTGCAAGCATCCTAATAAATTTCTCAGAATGTGCAATACTTCTTCCGAGGAACTATACAAATTAATAAAAATGGAATTATATAGGTAAAGCCAAATATTTAAAAAAAAAAATTACAATATAAAAGATAAAATTTAAGTACTTGAAAATAGTTTCCTTGTCTATTTTTTCAATTTGTAAAATAGCTTGTCTTAGATGATTGCCTGCATCTTGAACTTGATGCAATTTCCATGGGCAGTCGTGACGAATGTTGGTCCGGTACATTATTTGCTGCTGATGTCTCTGTACTTTAAATTGTATGTCCTGTAATCAGTTGTATATAATTAAAATAGACTTATGCACTTATGTGAAAGAAATTCAGAAACTTTTATTTTCAATCATACTATAACTACTGCAGTAAAACAGATGACCACGTAATTACCGACTTATTTATTTTTATTAGATGAGATTTAAACAAGAATGCTCAAATAAGAAAAAATGTTGATGTATTTATAGAGAAAACATAAATATATTTTGACTTTGATATAATATACTTAAGGTTTATAAACTATCGGTCAGACGTGCTCACGTGTAACATACATACTATACAAATTTTGAAATAATTGAATTATTATATAAAAGTTTTAAGTACTTTAAAGGCCTAGTCAAACAGAGAGCGGGCTGCCATGGTGTACGGGTACGCTGAACGCTGCGGGCAGCGGTCGGTTGTGTTATTTTACAGTGTCCGCGCGGCAGACCGCTTTCTGTTTGACTGAGCCTTAATAAAAAGGTAGTTAAGAGTTTCAATGCAATTTTAAGAATATTAGTAATATAATATATAGTACTAAATCTAAAGTATGTACTATGTTGGAATAAATAAATTTATGATTTTGGTATCATTGCAATAATACACAATACTACAGAACGAATTGTCAAATAATATGACCTTGATAAGCCATATTACTAGCAAAACTATCAAGACACTAAACCTATGATCGGCATACAGTGGCAGTTAAGATACAGTAGATAGTAATGACGGACAATTGTAGCTAGGAGAGTAGACCTGAAGAATAACATTTACCGCCTGCAGTATGGTGTCACCAGATATGGATACGATGCTTTTTAACTGGTCTGGTGATGTGGACAGGACAAATTTTTCCTGTTTGACTTGGACGTCACTGTCCCACGACGGAAAACGTCGGACGCATTCCTACAACGAAACGAGTTTATGAACAATTACATGGCGAATGTGGAGGTCGACCCATTACTTACGTTGAGTATGATGTTCAGCTGGTGCAATATCGAGTGCACCTCTTCATTCAGCACCCACTCGAATTCTTTTTGCTAGAATAAAGAAAACGACGTTAAAACAAAATTTCTCCCATCCAGTATAAAATTTGTTTCTTTTTAGATTAATCTCGTTGCATCAAGTCGAGTAATGGACAAACACTTACCAGGCACTGGTGCTCCAGTTTGTCACCTTCTGCCATTATTGTTGACGTCGAGCGGTCTTCTGCGTGCCAGTCTAAACCCGATGGTTCTTGCCGACACCGATCAGCTGCCACTGTTGTCCGCGGACGTCAGTTGTCGACGCATGCAGTCCATTACAATAATATCGATCGAGGTCGGCTCAGTACTTCAGTACTCGGTTGCCGATATCCGGTAACGCGCGAGAATAGATTACCGACGTAGGTTCATACCACCCCTGTCGGGGGTCGTCGACTTTTGGCGAGGAATCGCGAAGTCGATAAAATTGTGAATGTGATAATATTGTGGCGGACGGAAGAGAAAACAATATTTTACGACGTCGTGACTCGCGAAACGCGAAAATCCTGATGATTGATCGGTCTCGGTCGACAGTCGATAATATGGATTACGGTCGACTGTCAAGTGCGAAGCGAGTGATAAGGGACGAGATGAGCGCCGCGTGAAACAGCTGCTGCTGTAGACTAGTGGTGATAAGTGATAAGGATAACCGCGCCCGTATACCTAGTACCTACCTATTTTTCGCATTTCACGTTTCGCATTTCGCACGAATCACGAACTCCGTGCCCCGTGGACTGTGTGGTGTCGGTCATGAGTCAGTCAGTCAGCGATACCAGGCGTGGATATAGAAATTAAAAAGGAGGGAGTGGGTTGGATGAAAACATTTTCGATTATCAATCACTTCTAAAATGAATGTCAATAAGCAATATAATATTAAATATACCTTATATGTGTTATGTATACTCTGCTCCTCTAAAGGCTTAACCTCTCTACTTTAGTTAATAAACTGAATATTTAGGTAGTATTTGAAATATTTTAAGTACTAAAGGCCTAGGGGGGGCTTCATTGCTTCAGCCCCCATATCCCCTCCTTCTATCCATGCCTGAGTGGCACGAATTAAATGGGCAAGAATTAGGAGGAAGTCTCAACCGCGTATATTATTATTGTCTCTGTTCTACCCAAGAACAACATAACAAATTTAAGCTCAGCAGTTCCAATTTTGTGTTGTTAGATTTAATATTAGAGTGAAGGTGAACTGACTATTATCAAACTTAAAGATAAGAACATAATCTGTGTTCTCTAGTTAGTTTTTACAATGTTTTGATTTTTAAGGGATTTATAAGAATATTTAAATTTTAGTATATTATATTATTATGTACTTACACAAGAACTTGTTATGAGAACTTGCTTAAAAATTAAAATATCGAAACAACTAATGAGAGAACACAAATAATGTTCCCACAATACCTAATCGGTTATTGGTTAATGTATTTACTCTTATATTTAGCATAAAATTGGTACTACTTAATTTAGGTTTTGGTATATTATACATTACTGCTTTATTAAGATTTAAGACGGACACAAAACAAGCGGATACGACATCCTCTTTTTAAGGTATATAGATTATTTACTTATGGATCATGGCGTTTGTTGGTTATGTACTTAAAGCTGTTAGGACGATTTCCAGATTTCCACAACACTAGTCGATTAGTGGGTACCTTTCAACTCTTATACTTCAACCCTCCTCTTTGCAACATGTTTTTCTAGTATATATATAAATATATAATACAGAATTACAGTGGCGGATCCAGGAGGGGGGGATTTCCCCCCAGCATGCCAATCACCTTAGTTGCCCTATGTTTTACACTGTGGTGTTTGGCCAATTTTGTAACTTTTTTGTACCTTTGGTCCCCAAAACTAAGCACTGGATTCGTCACTGTTATAATAAAACATGTATTTAATTATGTACCTTGTAATTGTATTATTATTCATTTTGTACCATTAAAAAAAAAATAATATGAATATGAATAGTGAAACATATTATAATATTAGTAAAGTAACCTACTAGGGGTAATAGATAGTCGCCTAAACTTCCATAATATTATCTAACAACATTTTATTTTAAGTGTTAGACACTAATATAAAATATTGTTACCTCACGAAATATGTCAAATGCAAATTTATTGATAATTTAGCATTAATTATCGAATAATATAATTCAATAATAAAATTACATTCAAGAGGACGCTACACCCGCATGTGTTGTCTCCGTCTTACAAATGTACAACGTAGAAAAAACTACGAGGAAACGTAGGAAAGAACCGAGAATTCTACAGTTGTAACTAATAAACTAGATTTGCACCACGTGAAAAGGAGAGCTTTGGCTGTGAAACGTTGTCTTTTTTTTTTTAGATATCATTTGTGTGAAAAAAGTTTGAAAGTTTGAAAAACACAAACAATAATGATTTTTGAAACAGTAAGAACTTTTTTCATATAAGTGATATCAAAAAAATAAAAACAACTTCGCACAGCCAAAGTTCCCCTTCTTACGTGGTGCAGTGCAAATCTTGTTTCTTAGTTATGACTGTACAAGGTTTATAGATTATAATCTATAAACCTTGATGACTGTAGCCTTCTCTGTTCTTTCCCGCGCAAAACAGTTTTTTCTATGTTGTACATTTGTAAGACGGATGTCTCTACACATGCGAGTGTAGCGTCCTCTTAATATTATGGTAATACCACGCATTTACATTACCGAATGTCGCTCGCTTTCATCGGTAGATGACGCTGCAACTTACGGGTTTTATTAAGGATGAAGTGGTACCCCGCATGTGTACATCCGTCTTACGACATAACACAGGGCCTAAAATTGTGTGCAGTAGCACACACTATGTGCAGTAGCTAATATTAAATGTGCAGTAGCAAATTTAAAAGTGTGCAGTACTCATTTTTGGTTTTATACATTTTTATTTGATTAATATTCAATATTGATTATTGAAAATTGGTAATTAGCATAATATTGTATTCGTTTAAAATCCTTAACACTAAAAATAATACCTACTACATCATATTCTGGGCGGCTTATAATATAATAATTATATTAACCTAAGCTATTTCGTTTTTAATTTTAAAATGTTCAGTCATATAGCCATATAGGTTTCAAGGAATTATATAGAAGATTGTTTTAGATTGTATTTATTATAACTAATTATTAATGAATAACAAAAACAATTATGCAATGAAGTTATATATGTGGCATGTGGCATGTGTACTACTAGGTGCATTATATTAAAATATTTTGGTGTGGAATAAGGTGTGCAGTAGCAAAATATCTTAAGGGGGCTGGAGCGTGATTCATTTTCGGTCAAAAACATAGCTCACGACTTCAATCACTACGCCCAATATAATGTTTTGATTTTAATTTTGAAAGCAGATTTGAATTCGTCACTAAATTATCTATGCTTTGACAATTTTATTTTTCTGATTTTTATTTTTTTTTACTTAGGAATTTACTAACAAAAAGAGTAAAAATTAATCATTTTTATAATTCAAATTTAAATCCATTGATATTGAATATGAAAAATGTACGACAGTCAAAGCATAGTAAATTTAGAGGAGAATTCAAATCTGCTTTCTAAATTTAAATCGGAACATTCTACTAAGCGTAGTGATTGAAGTCATTGGCCGTATTTTTTGAAAAAAAAAATGTTATTAATTTTATAAGCCAATATGTGGTTGACATGTGCATGCGCGTAGGTAAAATCACAGCCGTACATATCCGGTCACTATGATGCCCCTATACAACGTAATCGGTATTATTCGGGGAATCACACACAATTATTTAATGATTATTATTTATTAATACCTATTGTAATGTTATGTACAGAATATATTATATAAAGGTATAGGTAATAGGTTTTATTTCCGTGGTATTATAATATTCATTATGATTATTCAATAAAATTATATTTTACATTATACAGGTATACCTGTTTAAAAATGTTTGTCTAGACACTCGATGTATTGATATTGATATTTTTATATTTATATTTTTATTTTATAATATATGGTATAACTTTCAAAATATTTTGATCTTTTTGAGCAATTTATCATACTGAAAGTTTACAAATTATTTAGCAGTTAAAAATGTTCAATTTTTTTAGCTAAGGAAAAAATATATTTAAAAATTTAAAAAAGATTCTACGTAAGTAGTTCATACTGTAACCAACAAATTTAAAAAATATATAAAAACAGTTTTTTTTTTACAATTATTTGAAGTTCAAGGTTGGTCGAAATTAAGTATACCTATGTAGTGCAGTAATTAAAAAAAACCATTTACTATAAAGTATTATCTATTATTTATTACCATTTAATTAAGTACAATAATATTATTATTATGTTATCGTAATTAGGTAATAGTTATTGTAAATTCGGTGAATTGCAGCATGTCTAATGACAATGGCTATTATGTTAAACCAGTTTTTGAACGGATAGTGAGTTCGGAGAGTACACAATTACGAATTACACACACTAATGTTCATTTACTTCCAACACATTGACATGGACCCATATGCACTGCAATATAAATTGCCTAGTTTTTACTCCTTAGAATGGACTACGCTCCAGCCCCCTTAATTTTAGGCCCTGACATAACATATTATAGCAGATCTACGCTCAGCAGATCACGTTTAGCTCCGTTGGTTTAAAAATTAGAGTGTATTCACCTCTTATAATATTTAAAGATAAGATTATTATCGAGGCAACCTCATCGGCTTTTTATTATATTTTAATTTTAAAACGAGTTCTGAGTATTTTAAAATTGTAAATTGCTTGTACATCTTAAAATACTCATAACTCGCTTCAAAATTAATATATAATAAAAAGCCTAAGTGATTGCCTAGATAATAAATTACCTTTACATTTTATAGGTGGTCAATTCACTCTAATTTTTAAACCAACAGAGCTAAACGTGATCGGTTGAGCGTAAAATTTGCTTTGTTACTCACTTGTAAGAAGGAGACAACCCATGCGGGTATAACGTCCTCTTGAAATGAACTTCTTAACCCCTAAAGCCACCAATCCACTATTTGCACCTATGCACAACGCATAGGAAAGAACTTTATCTGTGTCGTAGTGTTTTCAATGACAATTTTTTTAGAAGCATTTAAAGTTTGAATTTTGAAAAAATTTAATAATTATTTTGTAGTTAACAATTTATAAAATG